TTATTTTGATGTTTTGAGCTCTTTTGTGTTTAGAACAATATATAGTAATTTTTAAAGTATCAAACTGAAGTTTTGTTCAATAAAAATCTTTCAGATGTGACTGTAGCTTTTCCCCCAAAAACTTTGTCTTCAAAATAAGGGTGCGTCTTATATTCCGAAAAATACGGTATTTGAAAATTTGAAAAAATTCTTAAGAATTCATACAAAGTGAATAATATCCAAGGTTTGTAATAACCAAACACGCATTATGAAGTAGTTAATCATGACAGATGTTTTTTATACGTTATTATTTTAAAAGCTGCTAAATTATTCAATTTACTTACATTCATATTTATCTTTCTAGAAAAAAAAAAACAACTGCTAATCCTATGTATCACCAACTGAAGCTCCCGAAGCACGTTTCCTACGCCTAAAGCGTCCACTCGCTGCCGGCGTCACCAAGGAGCAGCACGGCCTCGAAGTCATGCAGTTGACGCACGGCGGAAACAAAATATTTGTGTTGAGAGCGTAGAAACATATGTTTAAATAAATAAAATACTGTCAAGACTACAGAGCGCGAAATTAAGACTGAAGACAAAAAACAGTCTATTTGTTAAACTTCCATTACCCCAAGAGTCTCATGGCTTGTTATATGTAATCGTGCATGCAAGCTCGTACAATTATTAGTCTCTAGTAAAGTAAATCGTGCTGGGTATTCAGTCTTTAGAACCAGTCTTATCTAGGCTTAGGGAGCGAGTGATTAAAGACAGACCGGGCGTTGAGCAGTTACCATAACTTATCTTGGGAAAAATTCCCATCAATTCACTGACATATCCTTGACAAAATCTCAAAACTATCTGTTGTGGTTTTTCCACACTAATGCATAGGGAAACGTGGAAAAAGAAGGGGAAATAATTCAAGCTTAAGTCTACTTTAGCATACATGTCAGTAAAACATTTGTCAACTGAACAGGCCCAAAAACACTATAATTAAGCAGATGTGACATACGGGGTTTCTGGGAACCAGTTCATTAATTAAACGAGAAACCCTCTTGGAATCAACTATTCAGTATATTCCTGTTGTTGCATAGGAAGACTATATGAAACAAAACCTAAAACACACGTTACACATGTTAATAAATGTACAGCTGTTCGAAGAGTAAATCCAGTATTTACAATCCTAACACAATATTTCATCTTCCTTGTGTTATTTCATGTTAAAATTTTATCCGAAAGTTAATGTATTCAGAAGATTACTATTCGAAGCAAGAAAAAACGTTTTTACGTATGAATTTCACCCATTTTGTTTAGATCTCTAGATAGCGTGTAGTAATTTATAAAGTCTGAAAGTAAAATTTAATTGAGTTGGTTGTTAGTTGAAATATCACTATGTATGAAATCTTGTCAGTAGCACATGACCTATCATGGCGAGTAATCAATAATGAACATTTTGTTATGTTGTCTACCTTCCACGCGTGGCTCCAAAGTGGGATGTATTCAATAATTTAACTATTTTTGTAAGTTATAGACGTTTTCTTAAAAATATATCCAAACCGGTCTCTATAAATATTCATTATGTTCATCTATCATTTATGTTTATGATAATATCTTCTTTAAAAATACATCTATTTTGAGAAATATATAGCTCCAGTCAACTGCATACTCATATATAAACAGTGTATTCGTCAGTTGCATGTTACATATATTTATCCCCGAATTATATCTTTGTAAGCGATATAGGCCATATTTGAGTTATATTATTTTTTCAAACAGTGTATTAGAGGCGAAGAGGTCAAATATACGAAATGCTTTATCATAGCACGTGTTGCACACTCGAGAATATAAAACAGGCTCTCATATATATCACAGTAAAAAGCAAGAATAAATAAATAATCGTTTTTTTTTATGGCTAACTAGCTAGAACTTGTGTGGAAACTGAACAGATCCAAAGCAACAGCTGATGCTGCAGACATACTGACACAAAACAGGGTTATAGAAGGGATAGTCCCCCTAGAACATTAAACAGGGCCTACCTTTAAGTGCTAACGTCTTCAGCCCGGAGTCTGGTCCGTAACTACTTGGTTGGCTTAAGGCTCTGGAAAAATGCTCGTCAACTGCGGCTGACGTGTCCCCATTGAAATAGGTAAGGAGAACACAGTTAGCGGAGATATAATGGGCGTCAGCTGCACTTTGAGGAAGGTCTTCAACGGTTTTGTCGTCGTCTTTAGCGGTTGTTGTGCACGTCACGGACACGACCGGAGAGTGTGTTGAACAGTCAATGCCTCTGTTTCTATGATAATCTGAACTGGGATGCTCTATTGGCTCAAGCATTTTATGCTGGAGGAATTTCTGAAATTAAAAAAAAAAAAAAAGATCCTTATTTGTAACAAAAAAAAAAAGGTAATAGAAACATGACAAAGAATTATCATGCGTAAAAAAGTATCCATTCCAATTGGTTTCCGAAGCTGTTAAAAATGCTTTGCTGGATAATTTACCAGCAGCCACGTGTAGTCCAACAGTAACCGAAAGCATGTTAAGTATGCTAGTGGCGCGAGCCGGACTTCAAGTCTGCGTGCTCGCGCTGTTGGCATGCAACGGTCACAAGAAGTCGGCATGGCAAATAATGAAATTTTTGAATGAAGTAGAGAATCCCAGCAGCCTCCTGAATGAGACAACGGGTGAAAGTTGAAGAACATACTTGACATTCCATCCTACTGAACGAAAATTACAACCAAATAATACTGCAGGATTTGCCTTGCGTTTATACGCTGGCTACGAGCGCGTGCCACGATAATTGGACACGCCTTTACTGAGACGACTTTTCACTCACCTTTTGCTCGGCCATCGGATGAGCCGGTGGGGGTGCCGGTCCAGTCATAGCAAAAGGTCCAGCACCCAACATAGGGGTAGTGGGCCCAGGTGTTGGAGCCGCTCCAGCCGCTGCTGCAGGGGCAGGTCGCTGGGGGTATGGGAAGTAAGGTGTGTAAGGCTGGTACATTACGTCTATGCAACTCATTGTGCAAACGCTATCTGCGGACGCGAAGTTTTCTCCTACTGTCTTCTTCTTCACTTTTACCCTGCTCCCAACTTGATCGATGTACCCCAGGTTCACCCCCAGGGGGCGGGACTCGTGATGCACGCCTGTCTCCATCAGTGATGCAGACAAGGACGGTAGAACCCACGCCTACTGTTGACGTCATTAATGCTAGCCAATCCCCGTTACCGACACACAGGGCATGATTTGAGTGCACCACGGAAGCCTACAACAACACAACACTAATATCCAAATTACTCTTTACTAGATGTTGCGAATGTTTATTATTTTACATACTTTAATGAAGATGTTTTTGCAGAATAGAGATTAGCCTCTTTCATCACGTAAAAGAGTTGTAAACGACACCTGTGAAGTATGAGCACAATCAACGAAATTCCCACTGGTGAAGACATTTTTCGGTTTATCATCCATCACCAACATTTGTGAAAAAGGTAAGAAAGATGGGAGGTTTCGAAAGAGCTAGGATTTTTGAGTTCACAGTTGTTAAATTTATTTGACATCCTTGAAGGTTTCCAAAAACTTACTGCTGCAAGTCAGACATTACATTTAAACGTGGCACTAACTCTGATTCAGTTATTTTTTAACTAGAATCAATTATAAGGTATATAGTGGTTCAATTGTTTCATATAAATGTATTCTTAGGCTTACATAAAAGTCTCATAGTTTACATAATTTACTTTTTGTTTAGACCTAATTATAACTTAATAACGTGTGCTACATAACCTTACAGTTTTAAGGGCTACGTGACTGAGTATATTTGTCTGTTTGCTGGTCTACTAATAGCTTTTATTGACATAAAACGTACAATTCAAATAGAAAGATTAACTACGTGTGTGTTTATTGTTTATTTATGTTTTGGTTTTTAGCAAAAATTAAAATTCCTTTTGTGGTTGAATATAGGAACGTGCTTAGTCAGAAATATATAACACGATGTAACCCAATAATACTGTAAGCTCTTCTACGTCTGGTGTTGAATAATCGGTTACATAATAAATTATTAATTCTAAATAATGAATACGTTATTGTGTCGCGTACTGGGATTCGATTAACCTACTTTCGTTATATATATATATATATATATGATATGGATAAAGTGTTCATATGCTAAGTATATGATATAGACAAGGCGTTCATGTTCTATATACATCTATATGCTAAGAACTTAAGGGTGAAAGCAAAAACTAAATGTTACAATATATAAAGTGCACTATATCTGTCATATTTAGTGCTGATGAGGCCTTTCACCCATTATCCAGGGCTCGTGAGGCCGCATGTACTGAAAAGGTGTTCGTGTTCTATGTACATGGTATGCACAAGGTGTTCATTTATGTATGATATCCTTAATCAGGTGGACTAGGAACAGTTTCGACATTTTCTCTTTCTCAGTTTCTTCTGTTCGATTTTAACTCGACCACTTCTGATAAATTTCATATTTGAACATTATCCTTTCCGGCCATATGTGCACAACCTGTTGAGCTCCTTACTACCCCTAATATGCCATAGGCCAATCGTCCTTGTCACTCTGTTTGATATATATATATATTAGGATACTTCTTATACAACAATTCTCTTAAATAACCTTCCATTTTTTTATTATGAACAGTTGACCTAAAGGGTTTAATTAATGATTATTATTTATAGCGAAACATTTAAAAATAAACTTAGTCTTAGGTTTAGAAACTTAAAAAAAAAAGCTAGTGTCAGTTCCTCTACTTCTGCCCACGAAGTTTGTTCCCCGAAGTTGTCTCTTTCAGGTGAACAAGTAAATAAATGAATGATCTATAATTACCATTTATCACCTAAAGGGATTATTAATAACATAGTGCATGCTTCAAAATGTTTTGCTTACATCTGGACACTAGAGGGAATGAATTTTAAAACACATTTAATTAGTATCTGAATTACTGGGTTTAAGACTTAGGATAATTATTTGACCATTTAAATAACATACATTTTAGAATGAACGAAAAAGTCATTTCAATGCTTCTGTTTTATCAGTATGTATCGCTTTTAATAGAATGTATAGTATGAAATTAACTTTTTTGTAGATGGCGGGAGATGTTTTATTTCGAATTATTGAATAATATCATAAAAGTTTTGTATCATATTTCAAATAAAACCGAGTAAACAATAATCGCAACTTATGTATTTTACATGTTGCTTTAGTAACTGCACGATCGTTATGGTCCTCCACTCGATACTTCAGTAACTTGACATCTGATAGGTCCGATAGGTGTCGCTTTAGTAGTTTTACGATTGATGTTCCCTCACAGACTATACTTTATCAAGTAAATTACTGATAGAGTTCTATTAGTGTTTACTTGTAAATGGAATATGATTGTGATTCAGTCACAACAGTGTCGCTTTAGTAAGTAGACGAGTGACTGCTAAGTTACCTAGGTGTCGCGTCTCATGCAGGAAAATTCTACAACTGATGAACCTTTATTAAAATGTTCTCTTGTATAGTTTGTAGAAATGTAACGTAATGAATTTAGGTTTACGTGAACATCTTTTCATGTTGAACTTTATGTGTTTTCATGTCGCACTTGTCAAACCATATTAAGTGTAAATGTTCGTATAATTATTTTGATATTATTTACCTTATATGACTTGACAGTATTTTTGAAAGGATTGACTGTATGTAATTAAACTGTGCGTCTTTTTTATCGGAAACAAAACCGCAATACATCTCACGCAAATTTGCATGATCAGGAAAATAAATCGGAAGTATTATGTCCGAAAATAGACAAGGCTATCAAAACGCATGACGCTACATACAAAGGGTTGAGTACGTTATATTTAGACGATTTTGAATATGCAAGCTACGTGACAACTATGACCGATATAAAATTGGGATTGAACAGGATGTATTAGAACTACATTTTGACAGAGCTTATCATTGCGTAGGTAGTGTGATGCCACCGAAAATTGGTCGCTTTTAGGAAGGGTATGTAACAACCTTTTCCGATGCAATATATTCACACACTCAGATCATATAGATGTGTACAGATAGAGGATTTAGAAGTTTGAAGACGGTAATATAGGTTGTAGTTAATAGTATTGGAATATGTATCAGCTTAGGGCTCAAGGACCTTCCATTGATAAACTTGCAACAAACGTTTCCCCGTTTTAGTAAGCAAAGCGCACTGTCTCGAGACTTATGAGAAACCATGAACACAAAGGTCTGTGGCCAAATTCATCCAAGTGACATAGGCAACAGTACGCAACATAATTAAGAAATGTTTCCGTGTGAAAACTGCACAAGTTGCTTCCACGAGATAACTGTTCAACAAACCTATACCTCAAGCAGCTGGAAAATGAAATGGGTATTAATGCTATTCCATACGAAGACATACTGGTCAAGTTGCTGGATTATTGATTTTTATGCGATCGGACTGTTGAAATGGGCGCTGTAAAACCGTCAAACTCTTACCACTTGATGGACTATAGAAAGCTTGTAGGGAAAATTAGTGTCTTTTGGATATGATAGCTTTTCGACGGAATCTTTCACAATGAAAATTGCGCTGCTGGGCTATTATCAAGATACATGATCGTGAGACAGGGCATGAACAGACAATATAGAATGTAACAACTTGATGATGCTTCCAAAGTGTTTTAACATAACGTTCTTATCTTGTATATTTACAAGCTTTGTGATGATAACCACTTAGATAGTGTTTAGAGTAATGTATTTAACGTCATTCCCGAACATTTTAATAGTATGTAGTTTGAAGAAGTTAAAATCAAGTTTCAAAACTTTTTTCGCAATTATCTTCAAGTTAAAACAAGCTTAATATGACAGGCAAGTAAATTCGAAATCAAATGAAAAAAAAAGTGTTATTAATTCAGAAGAAAATTACACAGATGGAGGTCCTTTAAAGAGCTAAACTCAATTACAGTAGATCGGAAAAGAGGAAATAAAAATCCTCTAAATGGGTAGATTCAGATTACAATGGATCAAAAAAAAAGAAAGAAAAAAAAGACCATTATATGAGTAAGTTCAAATACATTGGATAAAAAAATAAATAATAAAAAACAAAGAGAGTCCTCAATAGTCGCGGCGGTAATTGGATCTCAAATCGTTCAAGAGATGGAGCTATGAGCTAAAAGTTTGTACTTGAACAAAAACTCAGAGCCATTCTGTGAGACTTAACCCACCATAATTTGAATCTACCCTTCTAGGTGATTTTGTAACTCTCTACAAATGAATCTACCCTTCTAGATGACTTTTAACCCACTATAAATGAATCTACCCTTCTAGGTGACTTTGTTAACCCACTGCAAATGAATCTATCCTTCTAGGTGACTTTGTTAACCAACTACCAATGAATGTAAGTTTCTAGAGAACTTTTTTATCCGCGGCACAGCAAAGTCACCTAGAAGGATAGATTCATTTGTAGCGGGTTAAAAAAGTCACATAGACGGGAAGATTCAAATTATAGCGCGACAAAAAAGTTGCCTATATAGTGTTTTGGTGTTTGAATGATTTTTCAATCTGAATGGCACCTTACTCAGCACATAAACTAAATGGGTAGGTTAGAAACTCCGAAGCTCAGACATATAATAATCATCCCTAATATAGTTTGCTAAGCAGAGATAAGGCAATCAATCAGTATCACACGCCGCCTTCACGGCTATACTTAACCGAAAAGTTACAATGAGTTAAAAAGAAAAAAAGGGGGAAAGTTATGTGGAAGGGTAGGTTCAAATTACCATGAGTTAATTGTTTATTAGTTTACTAAGCTTCCAAAGAAAGTTTACGGGACTGATAATTTTCAATGCCTGAAAAAATTCCAAATAATTCTGTTTATCAGTTTGTAAAACTACATCTTAGATGAAGAGAGTGACTAAAGTAAATCAAATCTCAGACTTTGTTTGATATCTATGTTTTCTAAAATAAGATGAAACTCTAGCGTTATATAAGTAGAAAAAAAAGAATGATAAAGCAAGATATAAATAGCATTAAATCGATTTCTGTCACATAAAAACTAGCACGGCTTTAGGTAGACAGATAGAAAAACAATAACAACAGAGGCATTACATTTTCAGAGACAGCGTTTAAATAAAAGGAGATTTTTAAGACTGATTAGATTTGGGGCTAACATAGAATATA